GGGGGGGGGGGGGGGGGGGGGGGGGGGGGGGGGGGGGGGGGGGGGTACCACCACGCACAATAAACGAAGATCGTGCAATGGGGCGGGTGTCAAGAACAAGTTATTGTGTCAACATCATCGTAGGACACGAAATCGACTGAACATAGCGCTCGGCACGCAAGAACTAACCATCGTCCGCGCCACAATTTTTTTTGCGACCAAAGGAGCGTGATCGAAACGGTGTTCAGGTTGTTCTTTCCCCTTCGGGAACGCCCGCGGGTGGTACAGTCAGAGGAGTGCGTCCACATGACGTTGGGTGGTGGGGCAAACTTAGTGCCCGTACCGCGGTTTCTTAAATAACGAGGATGAGTCTGGCGCACATACTGCCTACCTGAGCGCCGACGCGGGACTCCCAGATTGAGAAGAAGCAGACGCCAGGTGCTTGGGCAGGCGCTCCATGCACTCGCGAGATGCTTGCCCCCCGTTCTTCCCGTGACCTTTACAGCGCAAGGCGTGGTACCGTAAGCGTCGCGACGTGGTTTCTATTGGTGAGATGTCGTCGTAAAAGCAGGGTCTAGAGAGAAGGTCGCGTGTAAGACGTGACTGAAGACTTGTATCTACGTGCAGGTCGACTTGTCCCTGGAGCACGTAGCCGGCTCTCTCTTTCTTCCAACGTGTTGCTGCGCCAAACGCTGGGAGCTAGCTACCTGGCGTCGTGCAAAAATGTTGCTGAGCGGTCTGTGTAAAAATGTTGCTGCTTCCGAGTGGTGCAGCGCGATTGTGTTGAGCCGAACCAATCTCATGATGAGTACGCAGAGCACCCTCACCGTCAAAAATAGCAAAAAGAGCTCGGCCCTCCCTCCGGTCGAGGGGTGCGATGACAAGACCAGCATCCTGGTTTTTCCATAGGGGGTCATGCGCCTGTGACACGCGCACAGGAGCCATTCGAGGGGGTACATTGGCAAGGCAACAGGCCACAAAAGCCCTTGGAAAATGTGTGTGTGCGCCGACGTATGCGCAAGATCCATCGTGTGAGCCAACGCCGGATGCGGCCAACGTCTTCCTTCGACACGCGCAGGGCCAGCTGCAAGGTGTTGTGAGATTTACACTAAAAGAGAGAAAAACTATTTTGCCCTTTTCCTGTCATGGTGTCTTTCCGTCCCGTTTGGAGACTTCCCGGAGTAATATAGTCCCGTGGTACCGCCTTGACCCACAGATTTGCAACCTAGACACGACTGGGGAGCAGACGATTAGCATGAGTGCACGAACAAGTGCTCCCCCCGCCGCCCGTACAGGTATGAACCGTAGGCAGTACCTCGTCAGCATGACTGGCACACCACGTAGACTAGTACTCGTACGTAGAACGACGGCCATACAGAGATGCAAAGGTATCGTGTTGTGAGACGTCGATGCAGCGGTTAATGTTGTCCTCACACTTACAAATCGTTCTGATCTCCATCCAGTTCATCCTCTTGTATAATTTTCAAGAATCATCGTCCTTGGTGTCACAACCCTAAGGAACGTACTATTCAATGAAAACAATGGTGTAGATGTCAAGTGTCGATCAAGTTTATCTGGATCGAGCTTAAGCTCTCATCAAGAAGATGAACCTCTTGCTCACCTTCTCTCCTGCAATGGAGTAAACGCCAACATTGGGTTCCTTTGAACCAGCCGACGCCCACCGACCCTCCAGCCTGACCATGAAGTTGCTAGCTCCTGATAATGCGGCTTCTCCCTGTTTATGGCGACCACCTACGGTAGAAGATGATCCACTGTCGCTGCTACCATCTCTGATTTCGACCCCGACCAAAGCGCCACCACCTCCAGTATCACTCGCCGCAACCTTGGTGCTACGACTCATGCTAAGAGCCTTTCCTCTCCACGCCGTAGGAGGGCATGGCAGTTGCTTCGCGCTCCATGAAGTGTCGATGTAGATGTAGCTCTTGCGTTTGAGCAGTTCGTTGACGCTGCGAAGCTGCCCAGCAACCGACGAGTAGAGCTCGGATGCCCTCGCCAGCAAATCGTCATCCTGTTCCCCTCCCTCTGTTCCTCTTGCGCCAACTATTCTAGTGCCTTTCGCGGCTGGTTTTCTGTGCCACCTTCCGTCGTCATCGTCGTTTTCCTCCTCCTCCTCGCCATCTTTATCATCGTCGCCATCGTCCAAACCTTCCGCCAGTGCAAACGAGACTCTTTTCTTCCCAACGACATCCGCTTCGATCGCCGCGGTCCTTCTAGTACTACTATCGATATTTTCTGTACTCCTGCTACGACTGCTTGTCGCCCATGCGTCAGGCGCCGCCGCCGCCGCTGCTGCCGCGGCTGCAGCATTGCTTACTTTGGCGAGCGCCTCCTCTTCTTTCCGTACGCTTGAGTCAACCACTGCAGTTCCACAGGCCGCGTCTCGCTGGCGAGCCCATCTCAATTTCGCGGTGGCAGCGTCGGCGACGGATGATCGGCGTGGAAGCTTCCCACCAGAACATCGACGTATTCGTGGTTGTGCCTCGATGCCTCGTTGCGCCGCAGCTGCCAGTCGCGATGTGCCCGCCGGTACTGACACAGAACCCCCATCGAGATCTGGCAACCTTGGGGGGAAAGCGATCGAAATATCTCCTGCCCCCCCGGCTCTTACCCCTCCTCTTGTTCCCCTTGCTGGCGGCCATCGCCCTGGACTCGCTCGGGGAGAATGCGTCATATGATGTGTTTGGTTCTGGTCGGCACTACCACCTGGGCCAGAATCAACAACGCTATTTGGGTGCATTGAGCAATCCAAATGTAAAAAATTTACCGGCGCTTGTTGGTCTAATCTGGCTGCGACGGGAACATCAGATCCTTCGTTCTCTGGGTGCCTCTTGGCGCTCCCATTTGCGGTGGCCACCTGTGAATTGCTGCCAAACAAGGTTTGTCTACCAAGTGCCGCATCACAGAAAGGACTTTTAATGGGGTCATTCCCGTCGGTGCTACGTTCATCATTCCCACCATTGCGTTCTTCCTCCTCTTCTTCCACGTCAAACGCCATCAGTGCCAGGTCTAGAGCATCCGGACTTAGCACCATTGATTGGTGCTGCGACTTGTGGGAGCAGGGTGACGATGAACCAGTCCCCTGGCGGCGGCTTCGCGCGTTCGCGTCTTCATGTTCCAGACCTACGTCGAAGATGCCGTCGTCAAGGTCTCCCACACAAGGGAAAGAGAGGTCCATGAGTCGGGGTACGGGCACGGCCGTACCATTGTGTCACCCAAGGTTACTTGGATAGCCAGACACACGGTAGATCTTCAACGAATCACTGCACAAATCCTGTTTGCTCTCCGACCTGTTCTGAATCCACGCTTTGACCCAACCCTGTGCTGCATTGGTGTCTGACGATTGAAGACCAAAAGCTCGAAGCTAGGAAGGCACGTTGCTTGTAAATCCCGGGAGTCGTGGCTCAGCAACACGAGACACGAGCATCAGCAGCCACTGTCGTCGGATGCGGCGAGAACCCACAGGTGCGGAGTAATTACAGTTTGGATACGTTCCGATACGTCTGAGCGCGTTTTTTTTTCGGAGAACTGAAAATTGCGCCGCATCTCCGTCAGCAAGCCGCAGGTTCACACGTTCACACGTTCATCCACGTCTTGTGTCACATTGTACACACCGACGGGAGAGGGGGGAGCAGATAATTGATCGGCATGTCACTATTACTAAACCTTGGCCGCAATGGAATGCTCCGGCGACGAGCAGGTCCATTGTTGTTCACGCCTCGGGCAAAGGCCGACCCAACACCAGCAGCAGCAGCAGCAATTGCTAGGGGAGCATCGAGTAGCCGGGCTTCCGCTGCCTCGGCCTCCAGAGAAGCGGAGGGCGCACCTGGTACCGCGGCGGCGGTGCAATCATCGGTCGAGGAAGAGGTGCGACGCATTCGAAACATCGGGATCATCGCGCACATCGATGCTGGCAAAACCACCACCACGGAGCGCATCTTGTACCTCACTGGGAAGATCACACGTCAGGTGGGCTAAGGCTACTGCTGTACAGCACTACAGCAGTGCAGCAGTGCAGCAGTACAGCAGTAGCGCAAATGGTGAGCACAACTCTTGCTTCACCCGAAGAGCCGGCTGAGGCAGCTCACCTATTGCTCGATGCCTACACATGAGTTTCACGACTGCTTTACAGACATTCCTTGCCGCCAGTGCTTACTGGTTCTGTGGATCAAACCGCACCTCCTAGCTACCCCACCGCCAGGGGATTGTCGTCATGGGCATCAATCAGCACGACAGGTTTGCACCGCGTGGCTCGAAGCAGGAGCGGGGCTCAGCGTAGGCATGTTTTAGACGCTAGCTTTGCTGTTGGCATTTACGTGCGGGATCATTTACGTAAGTATGTCACTCGGACGCCCTGGCAAACATGTGTACAGCACCTCAGATCCTTTTGCCCAACAGTATGGTGTAGACTCAAGGACGTCGACCAGTTTCCAGTCTACGGATCAGTTGGGTGGGCGCATCGTATCGCACATCAACATGCACCCTTCTGGAGCACCTCCCAAACCACGGCGTGCGTGGGCTTCCCCTCTTCTACCGCTCATCGCGTGAGCCCCATGCTCCGCCGTCGTCGTCGAACCCGAAACAGGGATCCGTAGACTCTGGCGACACGGTCACGGACTTCATGCCGCAGGAGCGGGAGCGAGGGATAACCATCCAGAGCGCCGCCGTGACAGTGGAGTGGGGGGGAGGAAGGATCAACGTGATCGACACGCCGGGGCACGTGGACTTCGGGCTTGAGGTGGAGAGGTGCGCCCGCGTGCTGGATGGAGCGGTCCTTGTCCTTGACGGGGTGGCAGGGGTCCAGGCGCAGACAGGTACGATCGGTTGGCGTGAGAGAGAGAGAGCGACGCCCAAGCTTTCTTGTGTGTGTTGCAGGCTTTCAGGAACAGGACTTAGCGGAGCGTGGGGCTGGCGATTCACTGCTGAAGTTCGTTGTCGATGTAGTGACCGGGGTAGGGGCTCCGGCACGAGCGAGAGATGCATGGCACCAAAAGCATCTTGACCGTGTTCATGCCGGCAGCGGATCAGCCTACGGACTTCACGCACACACAGGGCACATACATGTGGGCATTGATGTGCACACGGGTTCCGAAACACGCCGCCCTTGCCATGAAAGCAGAAACGGTCTGGCGCACGGCGCAGAAGCACGAGATTCCAGCGATCGCGTTCGTGAATAAGCTTGACCGGCAAGGAGCCGACTTCAAGCACGTCTTGGGCACTCTGGAGCGCCGGCTGGGAGTGCTCCCCCTCCCTCTGCAGGCGAGAGCCCCGTCTACCATAATCCAAGAGCCGATGAATGCCAAGGAACTGTTCTAGTGTGGTACCATAGGGTTTTTTTGCTGTGTGGTGATTTGCAGAGATACTTTTACTTTCGCAGCGTGATGCATGTACAGCAGTGGGAGTAGCTGCCACAGCTTTAGGACTCCTGTTTTGGCCATGGCTCACTGCGTGTTTCCTCTGTGGAGGCAGAAACGGGGAAGTACACACCAGATAGGCTTTGCTTTCGGTTCTATGTTTTTCGTAACATTTTGACCCTTGAGTGCTTTACTACCAACGTTCTTAAGTGGTGGGCGCGTACTGTGTGTGTTGGTCCTCGATAAGTCATCGACCACGCTAACAGACTCCGCAGGACAATCCCCGTTCCCACTAACCCCCCCCCCCCCCCCCCCCCCCCCCCCCCCCCCCCCC